TTTTTTTTTTTTTTTTGAGAGATTTTCGCTATAGGGTGTGTGTGTTCGCCAGACAGAGAGAGACATAGAGACAGAAAGCGAGAATTCACCCCTCAGAGGGGATGGTCATGCTGCAATCCATTCTCCTCCATTCTCCTCTCATGATCTTGGGCACGCACGCACACGCGCCCGGCGTGAGTTTTAAGCCACCGGGTCCGGGACGCAAACCGCGGTCGACTACGTGGGAGTCCAGCGACATAGCCATTACGCTAACTGCTGGTTCCCTGAGACAGGCCTGGTTTAACAGAAGTCAGACAGTGGATCGCAAGGGTTAAAATGCAGACTTGCAGGCCCATCCTCAGAGACTCCAGATTTAACAGGTCTAGAATGGAGCCTCAGAAACCAGCATTTGGGAAAAGCAAAAATAAGAAGTCCAGCAGACGACTGCACTGCGGGGCCCTGTGGACTGTGCCCTGCTTCCCGAGAAGCACTGCCTGGGCCTGGCAAGCCTGCAGGACTGCCGGCCCCTCTCTTCCAGACAGGACCCTGAAGTCAGTGGCCTGCTCTCGCTCAAGGGCAAACAGCTGGCCAGAGGCAGGGCCAGGGCAGCACACCAGCCCTCTGGCCTTCAGCCCTCTCCAGTGGCCCCTCCACAGCCCAGGGCGCTTCATGTGTCCACCTCTCACGGCTCAGCCCCGGCCTCCCAACAACACAACCTTCCCAAAGCCCCGCTCGGAGCCAGTTTGCCCTTGGCTTCCAGCTAGAGCAAGAGTGGAGCCTCAGGCCTGAGCCGGGGTTGAGCCGTGCAAGAGCAACAGGCCTGCCCCATTACACCCTCGCCCTCCTCACCTGGGGAGCCAGGAGACCAGTGACCAGCTGCACCTGGGGCTGGGGGGCCTTGGATACAGGGACTTGCTGACACTCGCCGGCCTTTGCACTTCGGGGCCTGCAGAGCCAGCAGGGGCCAGTGAGGCCACAGAAGCCTTGTGCAGTGCTGTGGACCATCACCCAGGCTGCGCGCTGGCCTCTGACAGGGTCTTTCTTTTCCAGAGTGACCTGAGGCAGCTTTTCTTTTTAAAAATTGTTTTATTTTACTTTTTTATTAGTATTTTTCAGTTCGATCAGAGACAAAGAGAGAGAGAAAGTGAGAAAGCAAGTTACCAGGTCTGGGACTTGAACCACGGTCGGCCATGTAGGAGCCCACCATGCCCCTTGAGGCTACATTTAAGCCAGGCTTACCTGGCAAGAATACTCGTGCCAGATTTGCCCCCGGTCCAGGCCCTGCCTCTGAGTGACAGTATTGTGTCTTGTCACCACTGTCAGGAGCAGAGGGACAGCCTGGAAATGGGGCACTGGAGGACGATGTGACAGGGACGAGGGCTGCTCAGAGCCAGGCCTGGTGCCTGGAGCCTCACAGAGCCGGCTGAGCCCCACACCCCACCTCCACCCTGGCGCGGCCCTCGGGGAAGCCATCCTTGACTGCCCGCCTTCTGGAAGGGCCTGCTCCTGGGCTCACGCCGCGCTGGTGCCGCTCCCAGACGGCACGCCTGTCCTGAGCTGCTCAGGGCTTCGAAGGTGCCGCTTGTCCCCGCTGTGGGGCGGTTCTCTCCCTAAGACGGGCACTGGGTCCCTGCTCCCCGCTGCGCCCACCGCGCACGTGCACCCTCTGCTCACGGCCCTTTCGTGTCCAGCTCGGGGAGGTGGGGCCTGGGGAGAGGTCACCATGGGACAGGCCATGCGGATCGTGTTCAAGGCCTTCCGTTGCCGTCCTGTGAAGAGTGATGACCCTCCTGAGGGGGGAGGCGTGGAGACTGCAGGACGGAGGCTGTGCTGCGTCAGAGGCTGCCTGACTCAGAGGGGGTGGCTGACCTCCCCCAGAGCCAAGGCCCTCTCCTCCCTTCCACGCAGAGCACCGCCCGGTTAACTCTCGCTGTCCCTCGAGCAGTGGCGGGGACAGGGGCTGGGAATTTCCTCCGGCTTCGGAGTCCCATGCAGCCAGCTCTTGTCTGGTCTCCGAGGGAGACCAGAGGGGCTCCCCACTCGCGCTCAGGCAGCTCAAGCGGTACAGAAGGAGGCCAGATCCGAGCAGGGAAGGGGCCTCCGCTCAGCTGCGTCAGCACGGCAGTCCTCACTGAGGCTCCCCACACGCCTGCGTCAGGGCCAGACCTGAATCAGATGACCCGCGGACATCTGCAGAGCGGGTGACGTGTGTCTGAGTGCAGAGGATGGGACAGCTAATTCCAGGGAAGGAGGGGTATTACGGGAGTCTTCTGGGAAGAAGCGATATTTGAGTTGGGGCTAGAGTGTATGATTAGGAGTTAGCCAAGTTTGCGGTGGGGGCAGGGCTTGGCGGAGGCCGGGCGAGGTGTCCCCGGGAGCCTGGGCTGAGAGGCGCCCAGGGGAGCAGCCATTGTTTGGTGTTCAGCGCAGCCCACAGTGTTCGTGGGGGTGGTGGAGACAGAGCCCGCACAGAGGCAGAGGTCGGGGGACAAGGGCATGGGCAGAGGCTCCGGCTGAGGAGGCTTATGGATCGGAACGCGTGGGGAGCCTGGAAGGCCCGGCTCTGTGTTCGAGCCGACCTCGGGGCCGGATCCCGCCATGGCTTTATCATCGTCGACACCTCGCTTCTTTCACCCAGACTTCCTCACCCGAGAAGCAGGATGGGCTGTTTCCTCGTTGCAATGGCAGCACAAGAGGACTTCCATGAGTTCGGGTTAGCTGGACTAAGGTCCCAGTCTAAGGCCCAGCAGGTGGCATGTAGGCGCAAACACTGAATTGCTGAAACCACGTGCTGGCACTGCCCAGGCCCCCCAGCCCGTCTGCAAAAACACCGAGCACAGGTGTGTACGCTGCGGTCCTCAGGACCGGAGGGCTGGGGAAAGGGGCCGGGGTGTGACGAGGTGCTACGGCCAGTGCGCCCTCCCTGGCTAGCTTATGTACGAGCATGCTCTATCATAAATAAAATAAATGGTAAAAAACAAAAAAAGTAGGGGGGGCAGCAGGTGGCATCGCAGTTATGGCCCACGTGGCCAACTGTGGTTTGAGTCCTGGACCTGGTGGCTTAAACTCACACTGGCATGGCCATCCCCCCAGAGGGTGATTTCTCACTTTCCATCTCTCTGTTTTTCTCTGTCTCTGTTTTTCTCTGTCTCTGGTGAGAGTACACACCCTATGGCAAAAATCTAAAAAAAAAAAGGATGCGTTTATACAATTTTCATACAATTTTTGAAACACGCATACCTTTCTCATGACACGAACTTTCCATGGAAGAAATCTCACACACCAGGAGCCCACACGGTGAAGTCCAGACTTCCTAGCACAACCTGGGCTCCCTGTTAGCCCGGCTCCTCCCACCAGTGCCCAGCACAGAGGCCACTGGCTCCCAGACTGTCCCGTCCAGGGCTCCCCTCTGCACCCTCCTTAAGTGGGCTTCAGTACCTTGCTTCCTGGCCCTTCTAGTGAGTGTTTCTCATGGCATTGACACACTGACTGCCCACCCTCTCCCTACTCCACACGTGTACTCTGTAAACATGCATTTCCATGAAGAAATGTAGCTTCTCAAGCATCTGTGGCCTCCAGGAGCCCCTGGCCCCTTCCCCTTAGTGCTACCTGCTTTAGCCAGACTGACTCCATCTTGCTAGTAAACTTGGTTTTCTCCTTCTCAGCCTGTGTTTGAGGCCTCTCCTAGGAACCCACAGGCAGCCAATCCCAAGCTCAAAACTGGAATGGTCTGCCCTAGGGAACGGAAACTCCTGTTGGGTAGTGCGGTTGTACCTCTGGGTAAACCAAGCTAAGGACTAGCTGCCACTACGCCACCTGCTGGCCTCTATTTTATTTAGTTTTATACATCATCATTATTTCTTTTTAATTTGACCAGAGAGAAAACGTGAGGAAGCAAGCCACCAGGACCAGGACTCGAACTGTCAACCATGTGGGAGTCCAGCACTTTAACCAGCATGCCACCTGCCGGCCCCCACATTCTTACTGCACAAAGGCCCGTGTCCATCTCAGTTTGCTGAGAGCATGTCCGAGTTGGAGCACTGGAGGATGGCGATCCCATTGCCAACGGGAGGCGCTGCTGCATGGCTGAAGCTGCATGGGAGGCACAGGTTTGACTCCCAGCCCAACTGAGACAGGAGGTGCCTGTGGTCCCAGCTCAACGGGGGCCTGGGCAGAGCACGGCAGTCTGGTGAGTCCCTGTCAGACATACCCGTGCCGATTCTGCCCTTCTGTCTCGTGGGGAGCAGGAATGCTAACCTTGAGCTTTCCCGTCCTACTCCAGGTTCTAGTCTAAGCCTTCTGACTCACGTTAATTCACGTAGGCCTTACAACCACCGACGGGTTTGTACTAAGACCCCTATTTTAACGATGAGGAAATTGAGACACTGAGAGGTTAGACTTGACCACGTTCAAAGAGCTGAGTGACGAAACCGAAATGCAAACTCGGAGGATCTGGTCTCTGGCCCTGCTTAGGCCGCTGCACCTTCTGAAACTCACGTCTCTGTAAAGTGGGCTGACAGCTGTCTCATACCACACATGCCCGGCTGGCACAGCAGCCGCCACCAAGGGGTTATCGGGTGACTCACCTGACTACTTGAGTTTTTGAGAGAGATTTTTGCTATAGGACGTGTGCACTAGCTGGAAAGACAAAGAGAGGCAGAGAGACAGAAAGTGAGAAATCACCCCCAGGGGGATGACCATGACACAACTCCTTCTCCATTCTCCTCTCAGGATTTTGGGC